GAGTAACACCATTGCCTAGTAAGTGGGCTTTCCTGGCTGAATGTTGGTTTCCACCCCCCAAATTACCATAAGTAAACATCAACTTCTGAACAGCTGAATGAGACCTTTCAGTCTGATTTGTTTTTAGTGGCTTTCTTTGACTGTCTCTACAAAGCAGCAACAATATAGTATTAGGGATATCTTAAAAACGTCAACAGAAGTTCCTGGTGGAAAAATAGAACAGACATTTAGAATTTGAAACTGGCTCATTTTATACAAATTGTGGATAGTCTAGTCACAGAATTGTAATTGAAAAGATGTTTTTGTGACATTTCAGAAATTTGTTCCCTGAAATATTTATGCAGTGCTCAGCCTTCTGCTCCCGGAGGCCAGATGAGTGGAGCAGGGCCAGTCCACAGACTGGATCCTGTGGATGGGGTCAGTCTCCCATACTGCTGTGGGACTGCTGGTTTGTGGGCTAGATCCAGCATAGGTCTGTGGAGGTTGTGGCAGTGAATGTTGCCACTGCTTCCCCTGCCACCAAATGTCCGGACCTCTAAGGAGACCCAGGGGTCATGGGTTGAGTATCAGTTTTCTCTCTTCCTCTGAAAATAAACTTTAGATAGCATTGAATGGTGGTAGATATCATTATTAAAACTAAAGCAGATCATAGGTCCTTATTTGTTTTGGATGCATATCACTGTTCATTTGTGTAATGTTTTTCTACATTTATAGTGTGGCGTGAAGTGTTTGGTATTTGTATATTCTTAGCTTGGAAAGTAAAGATATGTTGAACTATTTGAAGAAAGCAATGCTCAAAACACTTAAATCTCCTACACTTATTTTTTTTTTAACATACAAGCTCACTTGCTGTCACTTCAAGATTTGGTATTATCACAATGTCTTAGATCATTTAATTCCTTTTCTTTACATAGAAAGGTATTTGAGGCACAGGTATTCTTTACACTCCCTGTATAACGGTGTTCTTTATTTATATGTTGCCATGAAAATAAGTTGGATTTTTACATTTGAGATGAGTCAGAACAAAAGTATGTTGCCTGTAGTATGTTTTAAGTCTATTAATTTTACATTCTTATGTTGTAGGAAGTTGGTGAGCCGTTCAAAGAGGAGAAAGCTGTAGCCAAATACCTACGTTTCAACTGTCCAACAAAATCAACCAACATGATGGGCCACAGAGTTGATTATTTTATTGGTAGGATTATTTTTAGCCAATAATGTGGCATATCTACTAATATGGTACTGTTTTATTTTTCATTAAACTTACTAACATTTTAACTTGTGTAGTATAAATTTCATAACCCAGGGCTTGAAAAACAAACCAGGCATTTGTTAACCAGAAAATTAACCTTATATAGAAGTAAATACAGTGAACCCTCATTCTGCAGCTTCAAAGACATGGGATTCTTTATCTATACTGGTAAAAAAAAAAAAAAAAAAAAAATGCTAAAGGCTCTTCTTATTTCAAGGGCCCACATGGAGTTTGGAGGTTAAAGGTAGGCACATCATCTGAGCTGGTAGGCAGGGCTCAGGTAAACAGACTGGCTCCTGGGTACTCAGGGTTAGACTGCTAAGGCCTATCATTCCAGCTGATGCCTCTTTCGTACCTGAAAAAAATGCCAAAAGGAGTCAGCGGAGGAGCTTGCTTGGGTTGTATGTTTGTGGGGAACCTTGCACAATGCGAAGTGCCTGCGTGGACCTCAGAGTAACTAGTGGCATCCCACCCAGGGCAGCAATAGTGAGCTGATGGCAGCAGACACAGCAATACCCCCATTTCCTTTCAACACAGGTATTTTTCAACTGGGGATGGATGCTTCTGGTAGGAGGGCAGGGGATTGATACTCTGGCCATAACTTTGTCCCTGAGCATGAGCACATGGGAGACTGGAGCATGTGAACATAGAAGAAGGAAGGTGCTTCCCCACCCACTGCAGGATCTGAGGGATGCATGGATTTCTGACCCAGGCATTCCCTCCAGTTTCTTCCTTCCCTGGATGCAGGGTGGGAAGGATAAGGAATGGAGGGACAGCAGGCCCTTTGCCTGCGAGCTTGGAGCATGATTGTGGTGCAGTGCTGCCCCAAAGATTGCAGGGGCTAGCACTGGCTTAAACTGTACTTTTTCTTGATCCTGTTGCCCCAGACATTAAGGGATGAGCAAGCAACCATATTGCCCCCCTGCAGGTGCATGGATCCTGAGCAGGCGCAGTGGCAACAGCCAACATTGTGTGTGGGTCCTCCCAGAAGAATGATGTTAAAGTCAAATGCCTTTCAGCTGGCAAGGAATAAGCCCTTTACATGGAGGGAGCACAGAGCATGCTGAAAGTCCCACAGAGTAAAGCATTCTTTAGTGAAGTGGATATACAAGAGTAGCAGCTTCATGCACTTAACTCTGCAGGGTAGGGCAGTGTGGAGGAATCCTACTGAGATCTGCTGAGGCTCTTTTAGTGGCATGAAAGCTTATCCCATTGACTTTGTTTTCCCAAGTGAGTGGTACTATTGTTGAGACTGGAAGTTGAACTGGGGAGGCACATAGCTGAGGAGTACTGCATGATAAGATTGCTTTTCAAGGTTGGCAAAAGCTCAGGATATATATGAAGTATCCACGAAGTTGCTTCCCATAATAGAGGATTCTTGTTAGAAAGTGGTCAGGTTTTTTGCAGGACATCTTAGTCAAGAGACTTGTAGAGCAGAGAGAAGTTTACTTTCAGTTTGGTTAAGACCACCCAAGTTGAGCCTTGCTTGGTCCAGATGCTTGAGGAATGTCTTGACCTAATGGGAATTATTGTCATTTGAGGACATTAATGAATAATAGGAAGGACCTATTTTGACCCCTTCTTTCTCCGTAGATGCAGATTCACAGACTCTGAACCTGGTTCAGAATCTGAGCTGAATATCCAGAAAACTCATGCAAAGTAACATGAACTTGACCATCTTTGATTTCACATGCAGGTGATGCCATAAGGCAACCAACTGCCAAGGGTAAAATATTCATTGCAATGGCAAGACCCAGTTTATTATGAAGAGCAAATTAGGAAATGAAAGACTTACTGAGTAGAAGATCAGATGACAGAGTCAGACTTGGAAGATGATTCAGGGCATTGGAGGACACCGAGCCTGGGGTTTCCATCAGAGCAGGGAGTGCTCTTTGGACTTGACAGGAGCAAGACGGGTGACTAAAGTGGAAACCAGGCAGTGGTTCATGCTGATAACTGCTGCTTAAAGTTGCACTGTATCCTGGCACCCTGATCGATGTCAGTCATTGAGTAGCAGGTCTGTGAAATCTACCAGTTGGGGGCGGTGTGAGTTGGAATTTAGTTTAGTTTGTATCTTCCTGAGTGTCCTGGTGGCTGCTTGAAAGAGCCATTTCTGGTCATTTATCTCTTTTAGAACCCTGAAAAATTGTGGGAGCATGGGCAGCAAGTCCCTGGTACATGACCCTAGTGATTTATTTGTAATTGCAAGGATTTTAAATCTTTCAGCATGAAGCTTATGTCTTGGGTCAAGTCTAGACAGTAAACTTAATGTGCTTAGTATTGGCACACTCAAGTACATCGTGCTGCTCTTTGCCAGCTGTCCACTATGGCTTGTAGGCTCTCATAAAACAAGGGCAAGCTTGTCATTTGTCCAAGTCAGTAACTTTTTCAATTCCTATTTAATTGCATTTTTCATTGTAACGTATGAAAAGTATTTAGTCTGGGGTCAGGACTATGAGCCAGGAAGTCTTAGTTCAGACTGCAGCCCTAAAACTTCCATCTTTAAGTTTGGACAAGCTTCTGTACCCAGGGCCATCCCTGGCGGGATGCGAATCAGGACGATCACCCCGGGCCCCGTGCTTTGGGGGCTCTGCAGAGTGATGCCAGCAGCGGCTTCTTCGGGTCTGGGGCCTGGATCGGAGCAGGGGTGGGGGTGGGGCCCTGCTTGGTCTGATTTGCTCCGGGCTCTGCACCTTGCTCGGGTCAGATCTGTTTGTACCTTCCTATTCTACTTCCCCTGATTGTAAGTGGGGATAATTCTCTTGCAAATGGATATAGTGAGGATCAGTTACAGTTCATACAATGTTTTGCAGATACCTAGTGCTATGTAAGAGTTTTATTTATATATATAACTTTCCTGATAGATTGGATTGTCAGTCTTTTCTATTTGTTCAGTAATGGATTCTCCGTTTAACTTTTGGAGATGTTTCTGTAGCCACCTGTTTTGGTCTTTAAATATAAAACTTGGGGGAAAAAACAGTAGTGATAGCAGCAAATTTTGCTTTGCTCTCATCTCTCATGACAGGACAGTGGGTTTTTTTGCTCAAGTCCAACAAATAATGTTATGGGTGGTTTTTTTAACTATTAATGAACTTTTTTTTTTTTTTTAAAGGAAGACAGCTCTCTTTTTCCTATTCCTTTCATTGCCACCATCCAGAACTCCCAAATGAAGGTGATCCAGGTGGCTGGGGAGAGCTGAACATTTCCTCCTTTCTCCAGGCTCTGAGAACATACCAGTCAGTCCTGACAGACTTGCCAGCACACGTGCTGCATCAGTCAAGGGTATAAAGAGGTGTGATCCTTTTCTAGATGCAGGTACCTGATAAAGACTCTAATGCAGATGTAGTTGTACTGGCCAATCTGCATTTTTGCTGGTCTAGCTGGTTTCTTACAGGTGGAGGGCAGGGTATAGGACTGGAATAAACTGTGTCAAAATCCCAGTTCTGTCCATGCTAGGAGCACCCTTCCAAAATGCTCTGTCAGTCTTCCTAAATCAACAAAATACTGCTAGAGTAGATGTGGCTTTATTTCTGAGCCTTGCTGACTTTCGAGGGAGGTGTATGCTGTCAGGGCTGCTCCTCCTATTTGTACTGGGTCCAGAAGCAATGTAACACTACTCTAGCATGAAGTATCACTTGGAACTAGGTAGGATTTAAGTGAATTGCTATATCCCTAAAATACAGCCAGGACGATTAGCATATTCCTATATTTTGTTTTTTTTCTCAGTGAATTGAGTTCTAAATTGTACCACTATGATTACACACTTAAATAACTGATTAAAAAATAGCAAGCAAGGAACCTGTACTTAAATCTTTTATTTTAGCTGTTTTGCTTGGGTATTATCCCCTTTTTACAGATGGACAAAACTACCTCCTTTGTGAAATGCTTAATGTTTGGCAGAAAAGAACAGTGTAAGAGCTGGGTGGTATTACTGTATATTGAGGGTTCTCAATCTGTACTGTGCCTATCAGCCACTTTCTTGCATAGTCCCAAAGTAGTGTGGTGGGTATATTGAACACCAAATGCTATTCTTTACCTAAACACCTTACTGGCACCATTGTGGTCTGGAATTGTTATTGCTCTATCCTCCTCCCGTTGCCATCATATAAAATTCAAGTGAGTTCAGTCCCTTGGCCTCCTGCTCCTGCATCTGCAGCCTATGGTCCTTCACTGTGCTCTCCAGCCACCTTTTCTGGGTTTCTGCCTCTACAACCGTGCTTGTCCTCTGGTCCTCTATGGAAAGTTCTGACTTCTTCACTAGTCATACTACAACTACATACAACAAGGTTTTTAAGCCTTCCTCAGAGGCATTGGGTGTTAGCTGCGGCCTCGGCTATAGTGACTTTGGGGTGTGCCAATGCACTTCATGGGACCAAAGCCAGAGGCTCCTGGCTAGAGGGTCTTGCCCCTCTGTTCAGGATTAGATCAACTGCCATATTTGGGGTCAAGAAGGAATTTTACCCCATGGCCAGAGTGGTATGGACTGTGGGGTTTTTTGTCTTCCTTTGTAGCAGAGTGCGTGGCCCTTTACCCAGGATCTCTTGAATGTACATTGACAGCATTTCATAGAAGCAGTATGTTGGCTACTGTGGTTTCCCTGATTTACCTATGGCAGGTTAGAGTGTTAAGCCTGTGTTGTCAGAGTTGACAGTAATCTTATATAAAGTTGAGATTATGGTTTGGATAGGGATGATCCTACCTCAGGCAGGGGGTGGGACTAGATGAGCTCTGGAGGTCAGCCTTATGATTCTAGGAACTGTCTTTTTTTTTTCTTGGCTCTTATAGTCCATAGTATGGGAGAGGTCCCAGGTCCCATAGCCTTAAAGGGCTATCTGTTCTTTAGTGCTACCCCAGCACTTCAGTAGTGGGGAAGGAGCTTTGTTTTATATATAGCCTTGTTATTGAAGGTTAGTTCTTAGTGACTGGCAACCATTAAAATGTGGTGACTTGCAACAAAATACTAAATTTGGTACTTTTGTTTTTAATATAATTAATTTTGCTTAAATAGACCTTTAACATTTATTCTGTTACTTAAAAGGTTAATAGCTGCTTGTGATCTGTGTCAAGCTACATGTGAGTGGAAATTGAAATTCTGTTATAATGCAAGCAAATGCCACTTTGTTTAACTATTTAAACACCTTATGGATGTGAAAGAAGAAAAGTTTCTCAAAATATGTTTTAAAATTAAAACTCATTGTTTTAAACAAAGTATTATATGTAGTTACTGAATTGGAATTATGATGTTTTGTTGATTGTCTTTTGGGATTTAAGAACTATTAGATCTTTTGAGAGTGGTTAGATATTCAAATAGATTCTATTACAGATGTTTCACTAATGTCCTTGAGTTGAAATGTAGCTCTTTCTACAGGGTATAACGTAGGTTTTTTTAGAATTTTTCAGCAATCTTTTTGCCCTAAAAATATCCTGGTATGTCAGTCTGTTTGAATTTGTAGTAAGGACTTAAATGTATTCCATGAGAGCAGAAAATACTTTGGACTTCATTGTGTTACAGTGCTTGTGCATTGTGTGTTTGAAGCATATTTATATGATAAGCTGCCTTGAAAACTTACCGTTAACAAGAGATACAGTAATACAATGCTAAGTTAAACTAAACATAAGATTTTTAGCTACTTTCCAAACAACACACAAGCTGTTTAAGTGTAAAATAGAAACACAACCTCCAGCTGAAACTGAAACATCACATGATATTATCAGTAACATTAATAGCTTCAATACTGGCTTTCAGAAAGATGAATGCTAAAGCAAAGCAAAGGCATTTAATTTTGAAATGATATGTAACTGGAGTCCATATTGGTGGCTTGTTACTGAGCAGATATTATACGAAGTGTAAAAATTAGGAAAAAAACCCCAAAATAATATTACCTTTGCTGCAGCTCTACTTATGAAGCTGAGGAGGGGGACAGTGGTGGTTTTTGCTCTGTATTAACTTCTGGCAAAATCCCTGGCTGTAGTGTGTACTCTCCAGCCCCCTTTCCCACTGCAACATGATTGCAACAGACTGCCCAGAGAGGAAGCAGAATCTCCATCCTTGGATGTTTTTAAGATTGGTTTAAGCAAACACTTGGCTGGGATGATTTAGGGATGAACCTGCCTTGAGCAGGGGCGGGGGTTGGATTAGATGGTCCCTAAAGTCCCTTCCAGCCCTACATTTCTGTGCTGCATTGTGGGAGTAACGGAGCACAGCAGCATCTGGGCCATCTCTTTTGTGCCTTTATACGTATGCAGGCAAATATCTCGTAAAGAAAGAAGGTTTATATTACCTCTATATCTGATACTGGTATGACCACTGTTTGGAATATTGTCTAGTTCTGGTGTCAACCGTTCCAGGAAGATTGTGGTAATTGGAGAGGATTCAGAGAAAAGTCACAAGAACGATTAACAACTTGGTAATTGTGCTTTAACTTGAAAGATTTGAGGAACTGAGTCTGTTCAGATTAGATTAATAAAGAGAAGATTGAGCATTGAATTGATTACAAACTAAACACCTACATTGGGCAGGGAGAGAGGGGGAGTAGGAAGAAATTTTTTGGAAGAAAGTTCTTGCGTCTAGCAGACCAAGATAGAAAACAAACTGAATGGCCAGAAGCTTGAGAGAAAACACTTTTCAAAGTAGAAATAAAATGGTAGTCTGTAACAGTGAGGTTAATTAAATGCTGAACAAACCTACCAAAGATTGTGGCAGTTGCTCCTAGCCCTGTCCCGTGTGGCCAGAGAAAAGCCCATCTCCATCCTCTCTGTAATTGCCCTTCAGGTATTTGAAGACTGTTATCAAATCCTCCCTCAGTCGTCTTTTCTTCAGACAAAAATAATCTTAGTTCTTTCAGCAGTAGTAGTATTTGGTGCTCCCAGTTTAGAGGTGCACTGATACATTGGTCCAATAGCAGATTGGCACTGATATAAAGACAATTGACTGTAGTGGAAATTGGCCTGATCTGGCTGCTAATGTGGCCAATAAATGGCCCGTGCATGCACGCAGACTCAGCACAGTACGTAGCTGACGAGGAGCGCAGCCTGGGAACATGGAGAGCTGCTTTCAGCTGATACATCGGTTGTGGTGGAAGGGGCATGGGGGAGGCAGATCAAGGCCCCTATGGTGAGGGAGGGCTAGGGTAGGTGCTGCCCAGCTGGGGCGGGGTGGGGTGCAGGACAGAGCCGCACCTCATCCGGGTGGGGGGGAGCAGCTCCCGCTGCTGCATGCACCCTGAGCACGGGGGGCGGGGGTGCATGTGCCCCCTGGATCTGCGTGCAGGGCTGAGGCTGTGCCAGGCTCTTCCCAGTGGGGGCTGGGCCAGGCTGTGCTCGGGGCAGGGTGGGGCAGGTGGCAGCACTGGAAGGAGGGTTGGGTGGGGGCTATGGCGAATATGGGGCAGAGGGCTGCAGCCCCTCCCAGTGCTGCCACCACCTGCCCCAAGCGCAGTCTGGCCCAGCCCCTGCCGGGAAAAGCCTGCCCCAGCCCGCAGCTGCAGCCTGCCCTGCCCTGCGCAGATCTGGGAGCACATGTCCCCCCTGTCCTCCAGGGCTGTGCACAGCAGTGGGAGCCACCCCCTCTCTCTGCCCTCCTGGATGAGCCGTGGCTCTGTCCTACACCCTGTCCCAACCCAGCTGGGCAGTACCTGCCCCATCCCCACTTTCTTCCTCACCGCGGGGGCTTTGATCTATTCCCCCCATGCCCCTTCCCTTCCACCACAACAGACTTACCAGCTGGACACTGCTCTTCAAGCTGCCAGGCTATGTATTGGAAATCAGATCGGGATTGGCTGATATGCCTCCTTAAAAATTGGCTATCAGTATTGGCCCCAAAAATCTCTATCGGTGCACCCCTACTCCTAACTTTTTTAATGTGACATATCTTTACATTTTTCTTGCTCTGAAAAAATAAATGTGACTGACCTTTTTCAGTGCTCTTTCACTTTCTGCATTTCACTTATGGTTGAGAATGAACTGATCACTTTGAGTTTCATTCATTTGCAGCATGTTACAGTAAGTCTAGAGAATAATAACCCTCACCCCATAGTCGGGATTGCCTTCTTTCAGCCCCCCCCCCCCCCCCCCCTTTTTTTTTTTTTTCCTTGAGATTGTCCCTTTATTTTTTTTAAAATAATACCTTATTAAAACTTGGGTTGAGAACTTGCAGTTTTCTTGAAGGCCAGGCACCCATTGGCATCAGTGGGAGTTCTGCTTGTAACTCTATGGCCCATCTCTGTAAGGGTCAGTTCTCTGTGTTTCCTTATACTGGTTGGGTTTTGTCCTTGTAGCAAATGTGAGATGATGATTTGCAGATTCTGTTGTAGCATGGGATAAAGGGCACACTAAATGTTGAAGTGAACTTTTAGAGCAATTTAACACAGGTTTTTCCATTATTTTTTTCCTTTCAGCCTCCAAAGCTGTGGACTGCCTTTTGGATTCCAAATGGGCAAAAGCCAAGAAGGGAGAGGAAGCCTTATTTACAACTCGAGAGTCTATTGTTGAGTATTGCAATAGGTATGCCTTTCCAGTCCTAATAGTCTTAACTACTAACACTTTCTAAAGGGCCTTTGTTACTTAGGAGATTACCCTTTGAAAAGAAGACTTAAGTACTTTTGAAAAACATTATGCTGTTGCATATGAATCTGTTACTTCAATAGAGTTCCTGGGCCAGCATACCTTTGTTATAGGTTACAAAAAACATCTGTTTTGGTGTTATACCAGTAGCACATAAATAATGTAATTTCATAACTTCGATTATACTCAGTAACACTTACAAGAGCTCACTGTGTAGCTGTTAAAAATCATAGTGCCTCCAGCTGTAATCAGTGGTGACTGTGCCACAGGAATAAAAAGGCAGCATTGTTATAAAAAAAGGACAATGGTAAAAGTCAAAGGAATGTAAATTTATCCCAGTTCCACAGGACGTTTAATGTACTTATCTAATAGAATAATTCTTTCAAAAGACTACTTCTGGCACTGCTCCAAAGGTCTGGGCTCTTAAACTCACAAAGCTCTGGCAGCAGAACTTCACTAAAGAGCACACTGGCCATATCCAAGGATAGCTTAGATGGATAGTAGGTTATTATTTTATGCCTTGGAAGAATGAAACATACCTTCTATAAAAGACCAAAGTTGGAAAACTTTTAACACCCCTTGTTAATCTTCATATGATTGTCCACATGGATTCCACAGGGTGTCTGTGTGTACAAGACTGGATGCTTTGGGCCATTACTGTCATTTGAGGGTATGCTTGAGTCCCTTCGCCCAAGGGCATAAATGGTGGAGCTAGCCACAGTGTCTTTCTGCTTCTCTGCAATTGTTGGAGTTTGTGATTAGTCAGTTAATTCTGTTTCCCAGTTGTCTTCGAAGATGAGTGTGAAGGAGAGTATTTTGCTAGTTTTTCTTATCCAGTAAATCGGAACCTCTCAGCCTCCTTCCCTAGGATTAAAAATTGTGCCATTGTGGCCAAAGCTGTCTTTCTGGGATTTGTCATTCCCCTCCTGAAGTGTGTTTAAGTGCCGCCTTTGTTCAGTGAAGGACACGTCCCTGTTTCGCCATCTGCCTCTTTTTTTTTTTTTCTGAGCAGACTTAAAAGGCAAAAGATGCTTGCCTATAGTTGGCACTCTTTATGAAAACTTCCTCCTTGCTTTCCTTTCGATTTACATCTGCTATAATTCAGCCCTGAGTTTGAGGGCCAACACATCTATGTGATCCTACCTATCTGCTTCAATCCAACTGTCAAAGGATAGGAAAGGAGCATTGTCTAGTGATAAGCAGAGATATACAAGTCTTCCTTTCCCAGACAATAGGAACTGTGAGAGACAAGAGCCGATTTGTATCTTTGGCTCATCTGAAGCTCAACAGCTGAAAAGCATCCAGTGGCCAAAAGTGGGTCCTTGGATGTATTTCTGGTATTGAGAGAAACAGTGTGACCTAAATTTCCCTTGCTGCAGTTTAAAGCCATGACCTCTTGTCATGACCCCCATGGATAATATGTCATCCTTCCAGGTTAAATTATCCCACTTCTAGTCAATTCTTGCGTGTCATGTTTGCAAGATGTCTAATCACTTTTGTTTTCCTCTGGACCTATCTATTCCAATCCCACTAGAAGTCTTTTTCTCATTTAAACTGATGGAAGTTTGTTGGTCAGGTATGTGAGGGAGTGCGTCTTTCCCTCTTCTGCTTTTTACCAAGTCTTAGACAGATGCCTCTCTTCAGGAGGTGAGTTGAGACGCATCTAGATCACCTTTGAATTCATGGCCTATGATCTCCTTAGGAAGTTTACTGCACATAAAACATTCTGGAACTGGGAGCGAGGTACCTGGCTTGTAAGCATTTCTATCTCTGTTCCAGAGATCCAAAGTCCAGGTGCTGATAGACAGCATTACAGCTGTGTGTTATGTCAACAGACAAGGAGGAACATTCAGTTTCCAAGCTGGTGTATTCATCACTGGATCATGTGGCTGGTTCTGTACTTTCCACGTGGTCAGACGTTCTACCAGATCACTTCAGATAACCAGTTTTTGTACAAACATGAATGCCCTGTCAAGGACCCAGTGTTGCAGAACATCATTTGCAAGTGGGGATAATTATGAATAAATCTGTTTTTTCCAGAAGCAACTGGCTCCATTCTGGGGTCCCTTTCAATACTTTTCACATGCCCTGTATACTAAGACTGATGAATACTTTCCTTCCAAACTCCATGGTGCAGAGCCAGGATATAGGATCAATTGTCACAGCTCTTTGCTGGATGAGTATTTGTCAGGGATAGTTTAGAGATAACACAACCTGCATTCATGCAAGGGCTTGGACTAGATGACACTTGAGGTTCCTTCCTCCCAATTTTAGGATTTTTTTTTTGCTAGCCCTAGCATAGTATTCAGATTTGCTAAACCTCTCAGTGCAGTATGTTCTTTCTCTTGCCTGTTCTGTAGAATATAATCTGACAGAACAATACTCAGATCCTACACAAGTATCAAGCCACATTAAATCTGACATATGCCAAAAGAAGTTGTTTAGCTAAGTTGATCATGTCCTGCTCCAAAGTAGGAGGTCTCCTGAGGTATTAAGCTAAAGGACATTTTCTAGTCAGCCTCTTGGCACTGACCATCTATGTCATCAACACCCATTTCATCAATATTTTGACTACTTACTAGCACTGGAACAATCTGGACTTGATACCATCTGCACATCATATCTGTCCAGAGCCTGTCTTTTTTTAGAGTAGTTAGATTCCTTAAGGGATCCTGATTAATGTGTCTTCTTTGGAACCCTCTACCTCTTGGTACCTCGGTATGGTATTGAGTTTGACAGGTCCACATATTAAACCTTTAAGAACTTGTGCCTATACCACCTATCAGCAAAAGCTGCATTGTTGGTAAAAACTGTCCTCTGTGTAGTGTTTTAGGACCAAGTCATTTCCAGATCTCATGCCAGATTTCTATCAGAGCAGTTCTAGAGTTCCATCAATCTTGGGAGAAGCTGAACAGGATGTAGTAAGGGTTTAATCATATTACCCTGTCATAATAAAATAATTCAGGAACACGTCTGAGAGGGTTACAAGTTGGTAATATCCTCTGAGGCAATCACAATTGGTTTCCCACAGTGTAAGGCAGGGGTGGGCAAAATGTAGCCTGCGGGCTAGATCTAGCACACCAAGGGATTCTGTCTGACCCACAGCAGGTCCCTCTGCTCCACCTGGCCCAGGCGCAGGGGGCACCCCAGGCCATGGTCTGTGCAGCCAGTCCCATTGCCTCCAGCTGTGCAGCAGCCAGACTCTGCTTCCCAGCAGCCCCCACAATAGCAGCAACTTACAGCTGTTGCCACTAGCATCTCTGCCACTGCCTGGGCACCCCAGCCTGTCTGTCCCACACTTGCTTCCAGGAGTCCTAGACAGAGCAGGTGGACGAAGTCTCGCTGGAGACCAGCCAGGACTCTTGTGGGTAGGGCGTGCTCAGCCGGGCTAGTGGGATGGGGCCATGGGTGGGTGGGGAGCAGCGTCCAGGAGCAGGATACGCAGAGGCTGGGGCCAGGATTGTGGGGTGGTGACAGCACAGGGCTGGGATCTGGGGCCTGGGGCCCAGGACAGAGCCACAATGTGACCTTCCATCAAACTTCTGCTTGTCATGGAACAGACTGGCTGAGTGTGCTCCCATGGTTGTGAGCCCATCTGGGGTCAACCTGCAGTTCTGACCATACAGCTTGACGATTCATTTGCTTCTGTTATTTCCTTCTACTGTGGAGAATGCTGCCATTAACTTTAAAGACATTTCTGGAATGGAAATGTATCAAAGAAAATGATTAAACAATAGGCCTGATTTTTTTTTTTTTTTTTTTTTTTTTTTTTTTAAATCAGATTTTTCCAATGTCTTAGAAGTTGCAGTCATTTGTACCTGTGCAAAATGCTGACAAACCCGAGGTACCTATGCGAAAACCTGACAACCTCCACCCCCCCTCCACTTTGTAAAGATGTTTACATAAAGTGCAAGACAAGTGGGTGATGATTCCTGCT